GAATTGATACCGGAGCAACAGACCATTTCGCCAAGCATTGCGACCGCAACCTAGAGCACATCTATCAATCATTGACAATTTGTTAGAAGAGATGTTACAGCAAAAAGTTATAGAACCTTGTCAGAGCGAATGGGCTTCTAATTTAGTATTAGTTAAAAAGAAAGATAATTCCTACAGATTCTGTGTGGATTATAGAAAGTTGAATGAAATAACGATTAAAGATGTGTATCCACTTCCTCGAATAGACTCATGTCTCGATTTGTTGTCTGGATCCCAATGGTTCAGTTCATTCGATTTAAGATCAGGATATCATCAGGTTGAAGTTCATCCTAAAGACAGAAATAAGACCACGTTTGTTTGTCATCGCGGTACTTTCAGATTTCCTAGAATGCCATTTGGACTTTGTAACGCTCCTGCCACATTTCAAAGATTAATGGATAATATCATGATAGGATTAAATTTTGAAACCTGTTTAGTTTACTTAGACGATATAATTATATTTAGTAAAAATTTAAACGAACATTTAAAAAGATTAGAACTGTTGTTTCAAAGATTGCACCAGGCAAATTTAAAGCTCAAACCGTCGAAGTGTCATTTAATGCAGAAATCAGTTAGCTGTTTAGGTTATATAGTTAGTGATAAAGGGATCGGAACGGACCCAATTAAAATTACAGCAATCAAAGATTGGCCAGTACCAACTACACTAAAACAAAGTAGAGCGTTTGTAGGTTTGTGCCAGTACTACAGACGATTTGTACCAGATTTTTCAGAAATAGCAGCTCCGTTATATGAATTGACAAAGAAATGTAACAAGTTTCAATGGACGCACGCATGCCAAACTGCTTTTGATAGTTTGAAAGAAAAATTAATCAGTTCTGAAATATTAGCTCTACCTAATGACGAGGATGCATTTATTTTAGATTGCGATGCTTCAGATAAAGCTATGGGTGCAGTACTTTCACAATTACAAGATGGAGTAGAAAAACCCATTTGTTACGGTAGTCAGTTATTTAATAAACATGAGATGAATTACAATGTAACCAGGAAAGAATTACTTGCAATTATAACATTTGTGAAAAAGTTCAGGAAGTATCTGATCGGTCGTTCATTCAAAATAAGAACAGATCATGCAGCGCTTCAGTGGCTGAGAAAAACACCAGAACCAATAGGACAACAAGCAAGATGGATTGAAATTCTTGAAGAGTACGATTACACTATTGAGCATAGGCCAGGAAGTAAACATACAAACGCTGATGGATTGTCGAGAGCAGTATGTGGTGTTATAACAGAAAACAAAGTAGAAAACGGTGTTGATTGGGTTGCAGAACAAGTGAAAGACAAAGACCTATCCTTAATTAAAGACGTCATCAAACATTCAGTAGTACCAGATTTGAGTCAATTTGTTGATAAAGGAAAAGATGTTAAAATACTACTTGCACAGTATGACAACTTGTTTTTAACAGATAAAGGTGTATTGAAGAGAAGAATTAACAACTTTGATCAGATAGTAGTCCCCTACACAATGCGGCGAGAAGTACTTAGAGATTTGCACAGTGGGATGAATGGAGCCCACCTAGGAATCAGAAAGCTAACATGGCAATTTGAAAGAAGATTTTATTGGCCTGGATGGAGGAAGGACGTTGAATTAACACACAAATTATGTGAACAATGTAGTAAATTTAACCGACAAAAACATTTCAAACAAGGTGAATTACAGCCAATGTTGGTCGGTGAGCCGTGGGAAAGATTAGGAGTCGATATAACAGGGCCACACCCAGAGTCAAATAAGAAGTATAAATACATTTTAACTGTTATCGATTATTTCACGAAGTGGACGGAAGCTATTCCTTTGAAACGCGTAGATGCATCTTATGTTGCTCACAAATTAATTCAAAATGTATTTTGTAGATACGGACTACCAAAACAGATACTAACTGATCAAGGTAAGAATTTTGAATCTCAGTTATTTAAAGATATCTGTGAACAACTGGGCGTAGATAAAATCCGTACAACTACCTATAAACCCTCAACGAATGGTCTGGTAGAAAGGTTCCATGGAACACTCAATAAAATGATAGGAAAAATGATAAATAAAAATCATCGAGATTGGGACGAAATTCTTCCATACGTAATGTTTGCATACCGAACAACAGTGCAGAGTAGTACCGGATTTTCACCGTTTTTTTTGATGCATGGTAGAGAAGCGACAATACCGATCGATTTAGCGTATAACACGGAGAAGTCATCACCAAAGCAAATGTATGAATTTGTGAAAGAACAGAAAGAGAATTTAACACAAACATTTGAATTAGTGCGAGATCATTTGAAGAGATCAGTGGAAACAACCAAGCATAATTACAATTTAAGAGTGAAGAACAAACAATTTTTAGAAGGACAAATGGTTTATTATTATAATCCAAAGCGCGTTAAAAATAAGTATCCTAAGTGGACAAAGTTATATGACGGTCCTTACATGATTTCAAGAAAAATAAGTGATGTAAATTTTGAGATTAAGAAGTGTAATGGTTATAAAACCATTGTCGTACACATAAATAAATTGAAGCATGTATGAAAACAATGTTTTTGTTTCCTGTGTTTTGTTTAATTTTAATTTAATTTTGTTTGTTGTTATGCATGTGCCATTATATAGAGACTTATTTGAACTGTACAATTTTCAGACAAATGTCATTGTTTTGTTATTTTATGCATATGTCATTATATAGAGAATTATTATTTGAATTGTACAAATTCTTACAACTGGCACACAACGTTGAAATTGGTGACGAATTTCAAATTACATCATTCAATGGTACATCATACAATGAAGCCTTATTACGCGTCTTACTTACTAAACTATCTTACGTTCGTAAAAATAAAGCAGACGCCATATTAAATTTTAAAAACTTTTATTAGGAATAAAGTAGTAAACAGTTTTTCTTTTTGTTTTTTTAAAACAAATTAAAAGAGTTCAAAAGTAGGAATGTCTCCTAGTTCCCAGATCAGCGCTTGCACATCCGAATCGTCTAACTCAAGTGTGATGAGTTCTTCCACAGCGTCGTTGTCGAGGTTGGGGACGACTCTCTGATCATCTACGCTTGGCCTCGCACTTTCGTTCTGTGCTGGATTGTCCGCCTTAGTAGCCCTCCTCCCCACACAATGGTACTTCTTATGTCTAACCAGGTGTCGAGGTCTTTGCGCCACAAACCCACACTCGCAGATTTTCTTTGTCACGGGAATTTTGTTTTTTTCTTGATTCATACTTATTTTATTTTATTTTATTTTTTTTTTATTGTTATGTATTCGACAGAAGAAGATTTGTTTTTTTTTTGTTTTTTTTTAGCAAGTAGACGAAATACGTGCCTTCTCCTCATTGGTTATAGCATTCCTTCCTATAATCATTATGCGCACAATTTTTGTTTTGTTTTGTTTGTTTTTATTTTTTTTTATTATTTATTTCTTTCGTATTTTTGTTTAATTATTTTAACCAGGAAGAGGGGGTGGTGGAAAGTGTCAGAATTATGAAATAATGCTGACTAAAAATACTGCAAAATTTTCAACGCGAAAATTATTCACTCGATAGGGGGGCATGGTGCAAGTTAATTTACTCGATAGGTGACAACGTATTTTTTTTGTTTTGCAATTTAGATGACGTCATAAATTATTATAAATTATTTTAAAATCTAATTAATACTTTTTCTGATTAATTGGACATGCCTTGTAGATTTTTATGTTTTAAAACACCCGAAACAAAATCTAATTTTGTTTTGATAAGGAAGGGTGTGAAAAGACTTAAGAGAGAAACTGGGTTCACCAGTTAGAGAGAGTCCGCTCTGGGTTGACTAGTGAGGCAGCTTCGAATAATCAGTGCCTCTTCTGGTCCCTAAGAGACTTAACGCGTGATTCTATGCTCATTGGCATAGTTTCAGAAACGTCTTAAGTTCTCAAAGAGTCAGCCTTGGGTTCACCAGTTAGGCAGCTTCGAGTAATCAGTGCCTGTTCTGGTATCTAAGAGACTTAACGCGTGATTCTATGCTCATTGGCATAGTTTCAGAAACGCCTTAAGTTCTCAAAAGTGGATTCAGTACGAGACTCTATGCTCATTGGCATAGTTTCGCACGCGTACTGAAGACACACAATTTGTTACCGGTGTTGTTCTGACTCTTGTTGTCTTGTGTTGGTCGTGCGAAAGCCGATCAGACTTGACGGCCCAGTGAAAACAGGCCAGGGTTGTGCGAAAGCCGACCGACTGACAGACAGGCCCAGTGAAAACAGGCCCTTGGTCGTGCGAAAGCCGATCAGACTTGACGGCCCAGTGAAAACAGGCCAGGGTTGTGCGAAAGCCGACCGACTGACAGACAGGCCCAGTGAAAACAGGCCCTTGATCGTGCGAAAGCCGATCAGACTTGACGGCCCAGTGAAAACAGGCCAGGGTTGTGCGAAAGCCGACCGACTGACAGACAGGCCCAGTGAAAACAGGCCCTTGGTCGTGCGAAAGCCGATCAGACTTGACGGCCCAGTGAAAACAGGCCAGGGTTGTGCGAAAGCCGACCGACTGACAGACAGGCCCAGTGAAAACAGGCCTTGGGTTCTGTGAAAACGAATCCGCCTCGTTGTTTTGTTTCTTGTGCTATTTGTGGACCTAGGGTTCTTTGCTGGATTCTATACTCATTGGTATAGTTTCACACGCAGCTTGGAATTTCCATAGGCTCCGATTTTTGTGATTCATTTC